TTCTATGCCGGTATCTTGCAGCCGGAGCCGTTAGCGGCTGCTCTTCGATGTCGCGACGAAAAGCCACCTTCATTTGGCCTAGTCTTGAGTTTAACTCGTTTGAGAAGTAAAGCCTTAAACAAATCTGGATGATGACACATGCTTGATTGTTCATACTGTACTGTATGTACTATATTGTACAGTGTGACTTTTCGAAGGTGAGTTCTGTCGTCCCGATCCAGATGAGCCCATTCAGCGCATCCTCGTCACACTATACTCCACCTCATCCACGATAAAGCACTGATCAAACGGCTGTACTGTCAATGAGGAGTTCAATAACGAGACGGGCAATCATGGCGGTCGAAAATTCATGATGGAAACGGACGAATTTGGGCACTAAAAAAGATAAGAGGACACCGAAAACCCTGGAAGGGTTCCGGATTTGGTGTTTGAGAATACCACGCCTTCCGAGTAGGGGTTTCCGCCGAAACGACTCGTCTCACTGAAGCCACGTTCAACGCCTCGTGAATCAACCCGGCCCTCGTGTTGTCGTGGTACCCGGCAGAATCTGAAATTCGATAGTGACTGTGTGCCACCCCAGAGGTGGAACGAGATTCGCTGAGAGCATAGATATGGAAGACGATTTGGCTCCCCAATTCATCAGAAGCATCTACAGTTCGTGCCGGGACTTGAAATGTGCCGATGGATGTCTCCTTTGAGTCCTTCGTCCCGCTTGGGTCTTGCCTTAGCATCCCATTCATGCTCCCGTCTTCTTTGTCGCGATCGAAGAGCTGGTTTCGTATCACTCAAACAACAGGTTTCCGTCATAGGCATTGTAGAATATAAATCGGAGGTGATTGGGATGTCCCACTGCCGATCTCCGCAAGTCTATCGGCCTTGAGCAACTCACGATGGCACCAACCACACGTTCCAAAACCACAAGTTCCAAAACCACAAAGACCCCTGTCAGCAAGACTCGTACAACCAAGTCTTCCAAACCGGTGAACAAGGCTGCAGTAGAGGCTTATGCCACAAAAGCAAAGGCTTATGCCACAAAAGCAAAGGAAGCCGCGTCCACCTTGGAGGGCGAGCTTGAGGGGACCTCGGACGGCTTGCAGAAAGCCGTCTGGGCCCTGAAGGCACGTGCAGACGAGCTTGAGGCCGAGTTGAGTGCGGTAAAACAAGAGCCTGGAGAGGCCATGCCGGTTGATGAAGACCCCGAATGGGGAGAAGATGCGCCGAGTGAAGCAGAAGACGAAGCTCTCTTCGTCTCTCGAACGGCTGTGCCCATCATCGTCACAGATGATCCGCTTGAGGATCCGTGCGACCTAGTAACGTCTGACAATTTTGGGCACCGTGCTGCGGATGACGAGGAAGGAGACGTCACCAAATACGGCTATCTCCGGGGGCGCGGATTCAATCGATACCACGATGTCGTCGGCCGCGGACCACCCAACGCCGAGAAGCTGGAGCTCTTGCCGTCTTACGGGGTCCTTGGCCAGAAGTGTCTTAACGACGAAAGGCGCGACCCGAACCAGATACGCTCCGAAAAGCAAGACGGGAGACTCAGAATCGCCATTCAAGGTG